GCCAATGAGGGCAGGCCCGGAGGTGATGTTTCCCCAGTTCGGGCCAGGCCCGAACTGCTCCCCGTATGCCCTTGGGCCCGCTAGCGTGTGGTGGCCGGAGGCCCCACTACCCCGCTCCTGATCCTGGTGCCCCACCATGGCGCGCTGCGCCCAGTGCCAGGGGACTTCGTGACATTACCCTCTCACACTCCAAATACTTTTCTACACCACCGAGGGAAAAAAGGCCCCAGGGGACTTCCTTAGTAGTACGAGGATTTGTACAATAAAATAGCTAGAAGAAGTCAGCAAAGATTGATCTATTTCCTTTATTCTTTATTCTTATCCATATATTTCCTTACTCATTCCTTACTCAGTCGGTTGGTCTTATTGGGATAACACTATACTTTCCTTATTATTTGGGCCCGAAGGTGGCACAGTATAAGTTTGGTCAAAGGAACCTCATTACTATGAAACTATTACGTTAATGAGGCCACGCGCCTATCGATGTACTTAGCTCTTGTTTCTCTATTTCCTACTAGTACACTAGGTAGATAGACTGCCAGTCTTTGACCAGCCACGTGTTACGATCCTGGTCTAAGTGTGCAGGAGGCGCTGGAAGCCGATTGCTAATTGGGCAGGGCAGGGCAGGCAGGCGGGCCGGGCCCCGCAGGGGTTTAGTGCAGCCAATCAGGTAGCGCTCTGTCCGATCTGATGCCAAGACCAACAGAGCGGACGGAGCGGGCACTCTGCGGGGCCTCCGTGCTCTGTGAGCAGAGCACCCGGGGCCCACGGAGCGCAAAGAAAGAACTTTGATTGGTTACATGAATTAGATAAATACGATGACCGTAGCCACGGTCTTAGATAGCTCTTGCTTGGTTCTTCAAGCAAGCAATACACATTCACTGCACTCATACACTTTGAGTGGCATTCCGATTTGACTGTATTACCCGTGCGATAGGAGCTTGCCCTTTGTTCTATCTTCATAATTACCAACCCCAGCATTCTGTGGAGCCCGTGCTCCCTTACAGACAGACGACCCTAACAGTCGAGTGGTTTGTGATACCACGCCATAGCCCTAGAGGCTGCATGCGTGTATTGAAGGAAAAAAAAAGTTACAATAAGCTGGAATATTGAGAAGCCCTTAGCACACTGGCTGGGTAGAGCCGTGGGAGCAGAAGATCGAAGCAAAAATCACTATCCAAGAGGGTGAAAAAAAACAAGCTAAAAAGATCACCTGCAATTACTACAGAGCCTTAAACCGACTATGGTGCCTACTGCAAAGGCTACTACGGTAGTATTCTACACAGACAGATCAGAAGGCTTTATAGAGGGCGGAATTACTAACTCAGCCGGCCTATGCCGACTGAGCGCGAACTTAGCACCTATAGTAGCCAGATCGTGGAACCTGGGCTCAACCATTGAGGTGGCAGACGCAGAGGTCGTCGGGATTATCAAAGCCATAGAAGAGGCCTAAGGAATTACCACTACTACGTCTACTACGTCTACCACTACGTCTATTACTTTCTATATTTTTGTGGGTAGCCAAGCGGCAATCAAGAAGCTAGAAGGCTACAGATACCGTGCAAAAAGGGCCAAAAGGCTAGTCAGGTTACTAGTCTAAAAAGGCCACAAAGTCGAAGTCCACTGGTGCCTTAGCCACGATAAAATTGTTGGTAACGAGATTGTAGACCAATTAGCCAAGGCCGGCTTAGAAAGAACAGCAAAAGAAGCATATGTATCACTAGCCTACCTACGAAGGCAAGCCAAACCCTTATTGAAAAAAAGCCTAGAAAGCTGACTGGTTAACCCAAGAAGATAGGGAAGCAATAGGACAAATGTCCGAAGGCTTAGGCACACACTATAGAAGGGTAGCCCGGGAATTGATCACTTACAACTTCAAGTCCACAATACCACTACTACCTCGACCAAATCAGTCAGCCTATATCCAGCTGAAGACTGGGATTGGCTTCTTAGCTAGTTATTCAGCGAAGATTGGAAAAGTGGAAAGTAGCGAGTGCCCTGGTTATCTGGAGGACCAAACACCTACACACCTACTACTACGGTGCAAAGTACACTATAGAGCGGAAGGCCTTGTCAAAAGCCTTGAAAAACTGCCCTCTCACACTTCAAATACTATTCTACGCCACAGAGGGAAAAAAAAGGCTCTAGGTGACTTCCTTAATAGTACGAGGATTTTTACAATGAAATGGCCAGAAGTCAGCAAAGATTGATTTATTTCCTTTATCCTTTCTTCTTATCCATATATTTCCTTACTTAGTTAGTTGGTCCTATTGGGATAACACTACACTTTCATTCATATTCCGGCCCGAGGGTGGTACAGTACAAGTCTGGCCAAAGGAACCCCATTACTATGAAACTATCACGTTAATAAGGCCACGCGCCTATCGATGTACTTAGTTCTTGCTTTCTCTATTTCCTACTAGTACACTAGGTAGATAGACTGCCAGTCTTTGACCAGCCACGCCATAGCCCTAGAGGCTACATGCGTGTAAGGAAGAAGAAAAAGAAAAAAAAACAGTTGCAGGAGACTCGTTCTTTGTAAAGAGGTAACCGTTCGCTCCCGTATCGATCAAAACGTTATCTATAGTTAAATATACTCCATTATATGCTATTCTACTCATGAAGAAATGCCTTGCCACCAAGATACTTATCGATGATATCCTCGGAAGACGCTTGTCTAGTAGCCGATACTTCCCTTAACAGGGAATCAATATTTCCTAGGGTACTTAGTTTGTTGACTCCTCTCCTGATTTCTCCGATTCTCGGTCGCTATCGTCTAAGACTTTCTTATTGGACTCTGTCTTAGACCAGCGATCGATAATGGTCTAGGTCCGGGCCTTATGATCTGGATCGTCCTTCTTATTACCTTTGGTAGGGCATGCGTTACTGGTATGTTATTACAAACCACTCGACTGTTAGGGTCGTCTGTCTGTAAGGGAGCACGGGCTCCACAGAATGCTGGGGCTGGTAGTTATGAAGATAGAACAAAGGACAAGCTCCTATCGCACGGTAATACAGTCAAATCGGAATGCCACTCAAAGTGTATGAGTGCAGTGAATGTGTATTGCTTGCTTAAAGAACCAAGCAAGAACTATCTAAGACCGTGGCTACGGTCGTCGTATATATCTATCTAAAGTGGACCAATCAGGATCCTCAGTGTCTACGCCCTGCGGGTCCAGGGCGCTCTGCTCACAGAGCACAGGAGCCCCACGGAGCGCCTGCCCTGTCCGCCCTGTTGGCCTTGGCAGCTAGTCGGACGGGGCGCTTCCTGATTGGCCGCATCCCACGCGGAGCGGGGACTGCCCGCCCCCACCTCGTTACCCAATCATGGAGCAGGACAGAGCGCCTCCTGCACTTTTGAACCAGGATCGTAACACTACGACTTTACCCAGTGCGCTAAGGGTTTCTCTATATTCCAGCTTATTGTGACTAGTTTATTCAGCCTTGTGACGAATCTGAATAACTGTGTGGTGGGTTGTATGCTTGGGAGTAGGCCATAATCATCCCCTTCTTGTAGCTAATTTCTTACTTCTCTGTAGAGGGCTTGTTTTTATAGGGTAACTTCTTGAAATAGTAGTATTCGTAGGCTATAGATGTTACAAGCCTTTCGAATCGAATTTGTGGCGGTAAGATAGCTGCTTCCACTTCTAAGGCCTTGTAGGGAGAGTTTCTAAACGCTCCCAGCATCTGTTTTACCGCTAGGTTCTGTAGCCGTTGGTATTTTTGGACTAGCTGTTGTTGGTGGTAGTGGCCTTGGCTGTCTTCATAGCCTTTCCACAATAGTTAGACGCCGTAGTCGGCCAGTGACGTAATACAGGCTACGTATAGTTGCCTTAGTGTCCTAAACGACAGTCCCTTTTGTGTTCTGCCGAGTCTTTGTAGGCTATAGTAGACGGCCGTAGCCGCCTCTATCTTCTTTTCCACGTGATATTACAAACCACTCGACTGTTAGGCTCGTCTGTCTGTAAGGGAGCACGGGCTCCACAGGATGCTGGGGCTGGTAATTATGAAGATAAAACAAAGGGCAAGCTCCTATCGCACGGGTAATATAGTCAAATTGGAATGCCACTCAAAGTGTATGAGTGCAGTGAATGCGTATTGCTTGCTTGAAGAACCAAGCAAGAACTATCTAAGACCGTGGATACGGTCATAGTATTTATTTAATTATGGCGGGCCAGTAAGAGCGCAGCTCTTACTTGCCCGACAGAGCCTCAAACCGACTATGGTGCCTACTGCAAAGGCCAGATCGTGGAACCTGGGCTCAACCATCGAAGTAGCAGACGCAGAGGTCATCGGGATTATGAAAGTTTTAGAAGAAGCCTAAGGAATTACCACTACTACGTCCAATACGTCTACCACGTCTACTACTTTCTATATCTTTGTGGATAGCCAAGCGGCAATCCAAAGGCTAGAAGGCTACACATACCATGCAAAAGGGCCCAAAGGCTAGTCAGGTTACTAGTCCAAAAAGGCTACAAAGTCGAACTCCACTAGTGCCCTAGCCATGTTGGAATCGTTTGTAACGAGATAGTAGACCAATTAGCCAAGGCCGGCTTAGAAAAAACAACAAAAGAAGCATATGTATCACTAGCCTACCTACGAAGGCAAGCCAAACCCTTATTGAAAAACAGGCAGTCTATTCGTACGGTAGGAAGCGTCTTTTTGTACGGTAGAGTACAAAAAGTGACATGCGCGCTAGGACCCGCCCATTAAAAACCCACTTTTCGCACTAAAAATAACGCTGATTCCTGGGACGATACCAACGTAAGAAATCTTCGGATCAATCGCAGTCGCATCGCAATTACACCACGCCGCCGTCGCCAACGTCAACATACTTCCAAATGCAGTAATATATGCTCAGGGCCGTAGATGCGCTCAATCGTTCATTTCTGCGATAAAACCCGAAGGCTCAACCTGTGTTGTTGCTTACATAACATGCCTAAAATGCAATAAAAACCTGCCCTGCCTATGCATCGTCAAGTTCATCGCTTTGTTGTGCCTCAAATGCTGCAGCCAAAGCCCTCGTAGTGCGACGAGTCGATGCACCGCGTGTTGATGCCTTTGTAATGCCTCCTCGAGACCCGCGCGCCCTGGGGGTTGAAGCCTGTGCTCCAGATGAAGCCGGGGTTCGTAATACCCCTGATGATGCGCGTGGTGTTGATGTTGCCTTTGCACCACGACCGCCCCGGCCGCCCCGGCTGCCCGGGCCTCTCTTCGCCGCACCGAAGCGGGCGCCGCCGCGAGGGACAGTGAGGCCATTCACAGTTCGTTGTGCCTGCGCAGGGGCGTTTTCGCTGGTGTTTTCCTGAGCCCTGTTGTCCCTGTTGTCTTCCTGCTCCAAGCTGACGCCCTCCCATTGTGAGGCATTACGGCGAATGGAAGGCATGACGATCGCTTGTTAGTCTTGTAGATGCAAAATGAAGCGGTGCACCCACTTGCGCGGCGATAAAATCGCGTTGTTGTTGGTGTAGCTCAATTAGACGGTATTGTGGTGTTGTGGTGTTGTGGTTGTTGAAGGTGGAAGGTGTTGGTGGAATTGGCAGATGCCCTTAATTGTAGGTAAAATTTGGCCTGAGTGGCCCAGGCGCAGGGTGCCGGGCGCAGGTGGTGGATTTGGCGATGGCTTCAATTGTAAGTAAAAAAGTGGCCCGGGCGTAGGGTGCCGGGCGCAGGGTGCCGGGCAAGCCATCCAAAGAAGCGTTCAATCTATTCAACTAGTCTTTTTTAGGTGTAAAAATCCGACTTTGGCTGGGCTAGTGGCTTGGCGGCTTGGCGCGCATGTCACTTTTTGTACCCTACCGTACAAAAAGACGCTTCTTACCGTACGAATAGACTGCCTCTTGAAAAAAAGCCTGGAAAACCGACTGGCTAAGCCAAGAAGACAGATAAGCAATAGGACAAAAATCCAAAGGCTTAGGCACACACTATAGAAGGGTAGCCCGAGAGTTTATCACTTACAACTTCAAGCCCACAATACCATCACTACCTCGACCAAATCAGTCAGCCTATATCCAGTTGAAGACCAGGATTGGCTTCTTAGCTAGTTATCTAGCGAAGATTGGAAAAGTGGAAAGTAGCGAATGCCCCGATTGTCTGGACGACCAAACACATACACACATACTACTACGGTGCAAAAAATACACTGTAGAGCGGAAGGCCTTGTCAAAAGCCCTGAAAAACTACCCTCTCACACTCCAAATACTATTCTACACCACTGAGGGAAAAAGGCCCTAGGGGACTTCCTTCGTAGTACGAGGATTTGTACAATGATATGGCTAGAAGAAGCCAGGAAAGATTGATCTATTTCCTTTATTCTTTATTCTTATCCATATATTTCCTTACTTAGTTAGTTGGTCCTGTTGGGATAATACGATACTTTCCTTATTATTCAGGCCCGAGGGTGGTACAGTATTAGTCTGGCTAAAGGAACCTGTAAGAGAGGGCAGGTACGCCCGATCAAGGTGGTCACAATAGGAACAACAAGCAGGGCGAGCAATGACTGGTATTGGCGTAAGACTTCAACCTGGCCTGAGCTAAAGAGGTGTGCGAAGGCCATGGTCTATATACACGTGAAAGGGGTTACGAGTCATCCTTGCGTAGCCAGGGTGGTAGTGGCGATAGTGCGTGGCCCTGTTAGCGGTGGCGATAGTGGCGATGGTGGCGAGGGTGTCCCTGTGGCGGTGGCCATGGTGGTTACGAGGGTGGTTTCCTTACAGAGCCCCATTACCATGAAACTATTACGTTAACAAGGCCACGTGCCTAACGATGTACTTAGCTCTTGCTTTCTCTATTTACTACCAGTATACTAGGTAGATAGACTTCCAGTCTTTGACCGGCCACGCCATAGCCCTAGGGGCTGCATGCGTGTAATGAAGAAAAAAAAATCATATACACTTGGTCTTTACTGCTTTTACTACCCTGCAGTCTAGTCTAGGCTTGTAGATTCGTGGCTTTCACCGCAGTTCTTGCACTTTCTTTCTTTTTTCTTCAAAGGTGTTTATTACAAATCACTCGACTGTTAGGGTGGTCTGTCTGTAAGAGAGCACGGGCTCCACAGAATGCTGGGGTTGGTAATTATGAAGATAGAACACAGAGCAAGCTCCTATCGCACGGGTAATACAGTCAAATTGGAATGCCACTCAAAGTGTATGAGTGCAGTGAATGTGTATTGCTTGCTTGAAGAGCCAAGCAAGAACTATCTAAGACCGTAGCTACGGTCATCGTTTATATCTAATTCAGGTAACCAATCAGGGCTCTTCCTTTGCGTGCTCAGTGCTCCTCCTAACCTTTGGTACACCGAGCGTCTCAGAGACTACCGAGCGCCCTGCTAGGTGCGCTCGCCTGGTCTTGGCAGACCAGTTGCACCGAGCGCCTCCTGATTGGCTGTGTCGAACACTTGCGGGGCCTGACCCCGCCCACTTGTGCGGCCCAATTGGCAATTGGCTTCCAGCGCCTCCTGCAGTCTTGGACCAGGATCGTAATAGTGTTGGCTTATTCCTTCACGCCCTTTTCTACGTAATTGATAGTGGGTATTTTGGTATTATTCGTTGTCTTTGTATACCTTAGAGTCTTGGACGCTTCTTTCCCCTCTGCCCTAGTTAGGAACTCTTGCCAGTGTGTTGTTTTTGCAGCCCTTATAGCATGGAAGTACGTATTTCAAGCCGTGTTATAGGTTTGTTCTTGGTTAGGGTCTTTTTTAACGTAATCTACCACCTAGGGAGCCACACCACCTTGGCGAGCCAAAATTCCCCACTTCCCCGGCCCCCCTAACTTACAACAAAATATCCCCACCAACAACTACTTATTCTCACAAACTCGAGCGTTGTAATCCAAGGCAGCACAAATACTACACTTTGGAGGGGCTCGACGACGTTTGTGGCCAGTCTGGCCGCCTTGGGCTTGCATAGGAGCTTCTGCACCACCTTGGTCAACACTACTACCTCGGGCCAACCTAGTGTTACGGCCGGCTTGAAATGAGGGCGGAACTCCTCTATTGGGCGCTATGGACGAAGATTCTAAACTAAAGGGAAAAGGGAAAAGAAGCTCAAAGTGTTACGATCCTGGCACAGGCGTGCAGGAGGCGCCTTCTGCCCCCCTGCAGATTGGCTGGGGCAGCCAGGCGGGGTAGACCCACCTAGGGGCTAGTGCAGCCAACCAGGAGGTGGTCAGTCGCGACGAGCCGCCAAGGCCCGACTGACCACCACTTGCAGGACGGCCAACCAGTCAGGAAGCGGTCAGTGCGATCAGTGCGATCAGTGTGGACTGACCGCAGTGATCGCCCTGACCTTTGGAGAAAGACTCTGATTGGTCCGCCTTAGATAGATATATACGACGACCGTAGCCACGGTCTTAGATAGTTCTTGCTTGGTTCTTCAAGCAAGCAATACACATTCACTGCACTCATACACTTTGAGTGGCATTCCGATTTGACTGTATTACCCGCGCGATAGGAGCTTGCCCTTTGTTCTATCTTCATAATTACCAACCCCAGCATTCTGTGGAGCCCGTGCTCCCTTACAGACAGACGACCCTAACAGTCGAGTGGTTTGTAATACAAAGCCTCCCCTCGCGAGATTCTTCCAGGGCGTCTCAAGCTGGGGCTCTGGCTGAGCTTCCATTAGTCAGTTAGGTGGATCTGTCTGGCTGGTCGGGTGGATCCACCCGGCTGGCGTCTGATTAGTCAGAGCGTCTGGGAGGCCTGGAGGACCAGGCCCTCACACCTAGCACCCTCTGTACTGCCCGAGCCAGCTGTACTTGTTACGAATCCTTGTCGAAATGCGCAATAGTGGGGCACGCTCAGTTTTGTGTGGACCAATCAGGAGCGTCCCATGGAACGATCCAATTAGGAGTGTCCCTGGGTCCCGAGGTTCGGGACCACTTAAGGTCGAGGACGCGGGACAGTGTCCCGCTCGCCCGGCGTCCCGAGACCGCAAGTCTCGGGACCACAGGCCAGTGGGACCGTTGTTATTAGTTACATAGTTAGATATATACGATGACCGTACCCACGGTCTTAGATAGTTCTTGCTTGGTTCTTCAAGCAAGCAATACACATTCACTGCGCTCATATACTTTGAGTGGCATTCCGATTTGACTGTATTATCTGTGTGATAGGAGCTTGCCCTTTGTTCCATCTTCATAATTTACAAACCCAGCATTCTGCGGAGCCCGTACTCTCTTAAAGACAGACGACCCTAACAGTCGAGTGGTTCGTAATAGTACTATCTTGACCGGCCTGGCTGGCTTGGCTATCGAGGTGGCTAATCTTAGCCAGACCCTCTGCAATAGTAAGGGTACCTCCTTTGGCTATATATCGTCGGTGTTGCTTCCTCTGCTTCCTCCGTTGGTTTTCTTCTCGCAAGATTCGATTTTCCTCCGCGAACAAGACAGCACTATTCAGGGCTACCTCATACCGTTTAACCAGTTGGCCAATAGCTTGTGAAATCGGCGAATCTGGCTTTGATGGCCGTTGGTGGTGTAATTGGCTAGTATGGGCTGTAAGTTGGATTAGATTATAAGGAGTCTTAGCAGGTTGTGGGCTTCCAGTAGGACTGGGTGTAGTGGTGTTGTTGACTGGGCCAGCCACGGCGTCGTTAACTGAGCTAGTGGTGGTGCTATTGACTGGACCGGCAGTAGCGTCTATGACTGGGCCGGTAGTGGCCCTGTGACCAGGCTGGCCGCGGCAGCACCGGAGGTGGCGCCTGTGACTGAGTCGACCACGGTCCCGGCAGTGGTGCCTATAGCCGAGCTAGCTACAGCAGCTGTGCCTGGGCTGGAGGTGGCGCCCGTACCTGGACCGGCCACGGCGCCGTTGACTGGGCCAGTGGTGGCGCCTGTGACTCGAATTTGAAGTCTCCGTAGTACTCGGCTTGGATCGATAGGCTGTAAGCCGGCCCCGGCAAAACCAGCTCGGATATTCGAGCCTGAGAGGCCTAGTGGTCGGGCTTGTATGTATAAAATAAGAAAATCGAGTTTATCAATATGGTTAACCCCAGCAAAGAGTTTTTGTTGTACTAAGCTGCTGTAGAATGATTTGAGTGGTGAAAAACAGGCAACGTCGAGTGGTTGGCATAGGTAAGAGGAGTGTGGTGGCATTTGCATGACAATAATCTTATTATCTCGACAATATTGGTCAAAGGCTGGAGCGACGTGACTGCCATGACCATCAAGAATTAGAAGTCAGTATTAGCCTACAGCTCGGTGTTGAGTATTTAGATCGAGGATTTGGTTAACCACTCAAAGCAGTGATCATCATCAGTCCACCCTTCTTACTTACTCCAATTGACGAATCGCTCGGCGCACCGCAAGAGTACCACTCAGCTTGATGAACTTTGCCGGGTAGGATAATTTTAGGTGGTAAGGCCCATCCTTTACAATTGACAGCCTCGATGACTGTTGCTCACTCCCGATATCCTGGCTGGGCCACCATTGGCCGATCTTTGCGGTCAGCCCGGGTAAGTACTTTTGCTGTACGGGCTACGCCAAGTTGGAACCCGGATTTATCGAAATTGTAGATATCCTCATCTACAATGCCATACTTTTGTATAGCCTTGCTGACTCGCTCAAACCACTGCCCAAGAAGTACTGGGTCTTCACACTGGGCACGTCGGTAGTCTTAACAGCGAGAATACCGGGGCTTGATCGCATCGTAGCGTTCGATGAATCGTTGGGCCCAGGTCGGGCCTACCGGCTTTCCACTACGACTTGCCAGCAATGAATTGGCCATACGGCGCGTATAGTCGATTGTCGGGGACATACCACGCTCGTCCATTGATAGGATTCACTGTACTAGAGCAGTCTCCTCGGCTACCGATAGCTTTCAGTTATTGACTTGTGTATTGTACCAAGGTCGTCTACCACGAAGCCGCGCAGACAATGTCTGGTGGGGTACATTGTAGACTGTTGCAGCCTGTCGCATCGACTTGCACTGGCTGTGTTGGTAAGCCTTGACGGTTAATTGAACCCTTTGGGGGGATATTAAGCAACTGGTTGTCTTGGTCATCGCTGCAGCTATGGTGATAGACACGCGTGCGGGTCGTGTTTTGGTGGGGAATTTTGGCTCGCCAAGGTGGTGTGGCTTGCTAGGTGGTAGATTACGTTATAGTTTCTTTGGGCATGATGTAATATTACAAACCACTCTACTGTTAGGGTCGTCTGTTTGTAAGGGAGCACGGGCTCCACAGGATGCTGGGGTTGGTAATTAAAGATAGAACAAAGGGCAAGCTCCTATCGTACGGGTAATACAGTCAAATCGGAATGCCACTCAAAGTGTATGAGTGCAGTGAATGTGTATTGCTTGCTTGGAGAATCCAGCAAGAACTAAGACCGTGGACACGGTCATCGTATATATCTATCTAAGGTGGGCCAATTGGGTCGAGCATTTCCCGATCAGTGGGTCTTCCCAACCTTGGTAGCCGAATGCACACTGATCGCGCTGACCGCTCCGCTATTGGCTGCATCGAACTCCTGTGGGGCCCGGTGTAAGAGAAGGCAGGTACGCGTGATCAAGGTGGTCACGATGGAGGGAACAAGGGGGCGAGCAATGACTGGCATTGATAAAAGACTTCAACCTGGCCCTCGCAAAGGAAGGTAGGCGAGGGCCACTACTTATATACATAGTTGGGTGGCTCAATCTGGCGAGTGCCTGGGCCGGGTGTTTGGGGCCAGCTGGTGGCGCCTGGGCCGGACCGGGCGTTTGGGGTGCTCTTTCCTTACACCCGGCTGGCCTGCTAGTGCTGCCCAACCAGCGACCGGCTTCCAGCGCCTCCTGCAGACTTGAGCCGGGCTGTAACATATAAGCTCTTTCGTAGAGTTGTAAGGTTGTTAGACCACTAAGGCTTTGATCTTTCAGTTATCTTAAGCCTTGAAATTGCCTGGTTTGCAGCTTCTGTGATTACTGTACTAAGTATATCAGCTATACTGTTCCAATCCCTTTGATGTATAGCAGTCTGGACTGCTTTTGTGGCTTCTTTTTCATTGGTGTTCAACTTTATAGTAAATATATCCCAATTAGCCTTTTGTAGTTGTACGAGGGTAAGAGATTGCCTGTACTAGTGTGCTTTCTAGTGGTTTTTGTTGACTTTGGCCAGCCTTGGAAGCTTATAGCTTTGTGGTCAGATCCTGTAGATTCGGTATAGTCCCAGTTATTTCAGGTAATCGATTTGAAGGGTATAGTGAAGGCTAGGTCAATAACTGAGGTTGTTATAAAATTAGACCTATGTTGTGTACCTCCCTTTTCCTTTATTACTCTAGGATCTACTAGGATATCCGCCTTCTGTATCTGTAGCCAGTCTACTAGTATAGTCGCTTTTGTAGCCTTTGTGGAGTCGGCCTCCCTGTTCCACCATGGGTGGTTATTACAAACCACTCGACTGTTAGGGTCGTCTGTCTGTAAGGGAGCACGGGCTCCACAGAATGCTTGGGTTGGTAATTATGAAGATAGAACAAAGGGCAAGCTCCTATCGCACGGGTAATACAGTCAAATCAGAATGCCACTCAAAGTGTATGAGTGCAGTGAATGTGTATTGCTTGCTTGAAGAACCAAGCAAGAACTATCTAAGACCGTGGCTACGGTCGTCATATATATCTATCTAAGGCGGACCAATCAGAGTCCTTCTCCAAAAGTCAGAGCGATCACTGCGATCAGTCCACACTGATCGCACTGATCACACTGACCGCTTCCTGACTGGTTGACCGTCCTGCCAGTGGTGGTCAGTCGGGCCTTGGCGGCCCGTCGTGACTGACCACCTCCTGGTTGGCTGCACCAGCCCCTAGGTGGGTCTACCCCACCTGGCTGCCCCAGCCAATCTGCAGGGGGGCTCAAGGCGCCTCCTGCACACCTGTGCCAGGATCGTAACAGTGGTGTAGGTTGAAGTTCCCTACTATTAGGCAGGGTTTTCTTAGCTCGTAGTGTTGTAGTACCCTTTCTACCGTTGTAGGCCCTAAGACTTCTGCTTGTGGTTGGTTGGGTAGTGGGTCTAGCCGTTGTCTTTCGTTATAGACAGTGAAGATATAGAAGCTTTCTAACCCAAATACCTCGATTACTTGTATATCGAGGTCGTTGGCTATATCGAATCTTGGTGTGAATTCTGGCTCACTACTTTGTCTAAAGTAGGCTATTATTCTAGGCCTGTGGCCTTTTTCCAACGTTGGTTGTGGTAGAATAGTATGGAAAGCTGGGTGGTTTATTGCGTAGTAGCCATCTTACTTATTTCCAGTGTAGTTGTAAGAGAAGGCAGGTACACCTGATCAAGGTGGTCACGATGGAGGGAACAAGGGGGCGAACAATGACTGGCATTGGTAAAGGACTTCAACCTGGCCCTCGCAAAGGAAGGTGGGCGAGGGCTACTATTTATATACATAGTTGGGTGGCTCAATCCGGCGGGTGCCTAGGCCGGGTGTTTGGGGCCAGCTGGTGGCGCCTGGGCTGGGCCGGGCGTTTGGGGTGCTCTTTCCTTACAGTAGTAGTGGCGATAGTGCGTAGCCCTGGTAGCGGTGGCGATAGTGGCGATAGTGGCGATAGTGGCGATGGTGGCCCTGCTGGCGGTGGCGGTGGTGGCTACGAGGGTGGTTTCCTTACAACTATCCCCTCCCCCCCGTAGGTCGACGTCCCCGTCCACTAGTCACTTGACTAGGAACCTCCTGCGCCCTCCATCCTTGTGCTCCACGATGTCTTCCACTTCCCATTCTTCTCCTTCGACTAGCTCTGGTAGTGGTAGCACTTTCTGACCTTCGGCCACTGACTATTTCTCTAACAGGGAGACTGGGAAAACATCATGGAGCCGAGCGTACTTTGCTGGTAGTTCGACACGATATGCTTGTGTGCCGATCTTTTCCGTGATCTTGACTGGGATAAATCTAGGTGCTAGCTTTCTTCCGGTTTTGAACCAAAAGTTTTGCGTGGAGAGTCCAACCGTTTCTCCCAATTCGAACCCAATCCACTGGTTTCGTGCGTCGTAGTACCTTTTCTGTGAGTCCACGGCCTTCTGCCAGTTGTGGTACAT